CGCAATGGGATTCATTCTACTTCTGCTGCATTGGAAAAGTGATTTTATCTCAAATTCTGTTTTAATTGTGTCACTCACTTGTTCTCGAATTTTGTTGATTAAGTGACAGGATGACACATGAAGAAAGTTTCAATAGAACTCGATTGGTATTTATTTTCTTTAAATGTCGCGTGAAATTTATGGGAGTAATGATAAAATGCTCGATCACCTGGTTATTTCACGCGCTGTTTTCATCTGTTTTACATGAATTGTACAAAATATTCGATGAATCCGTCGGTAGGCCTATTAACTCTTCCTCTTTCCCTCCTCTCTCGCTGAAGCAATCCCTTTTCTTTTTCCCGTCTGCTCTATGGAACATGTCTCTCTTTCCCTCTTCTTTCTTCTGCTGCTCTTCTCCGTTCGTCGTTCTCATTCTGCAAACCGGCCAGCCGAAAGAGGCCAGCAACGTTGCTCTCTCGTCACTGTCTATCTGAACAGACAGCGTGGAGCTGCCTTCGAGCAAAGTGAGGGCGTCTAATGAGGCAATAAATAAGTCGACCGCCCTAACCGGCCTCTCCACGCTTTTCGTTCGCGACGACGTGTCCATCCTCGAGTTCTTTTCTTGCCTCCACGTACGCAAGGTGGGGCCCATCTCCTCGGTTCTAGCCGGGGCCCTCTCCTTCTCCCCCCCGGGCGTTTCGCTGGCTCGATTGTTATCGATTAAACCGCGTCTTCCCTCGTTTTTTCGTCTAGTGGATCCCGCAATGTTTTTGCGAGCGCCGTCTCGCAAGAAAAGAGGTACAAGCGTACGAGTGATGGCACTGTTAAATTTGTTGTGCATTTAAATGCGGCACGTTGGATTTTGCTCCTAAAATTCTGTAATTTAGAAAGCGATAAATGAGTTAACGGTATATTCACTCAAATGCGTTACTTGCTATCATGAGGATCTATGTTTATGTCATCGTAAAATGTTTCTTCCTGGTTAAATATGTACACATAGTATTGAAATTTCGAAAATTTATCGACAGATAAATTTTTTATGTTTGGATGTCTCTGTGATTCTTTTATTTTTTACAAATCAATGTACTTATTTTTCAATTAAACAATTTAATTTTTTTTTGAGATTTTAAATTTTTTATCTTGTGTAAATTTTTTAAATTTACTTTTGCATCATTTATCGTTATCTGCATTAAAAATTTTTTGTTATTTGTTTGTCGTGCGTCCCCGTGAGATCAGCTGGAATAAAGTGAACAATGTTTGCGAATGTAGCCTGTAGAAAGTTACGAAATCGCTATCGGCAGACGGAAGACGAATGGCAACGTAGCTCTCCTGACCACTCCAATTCCCATTAACTCGCCTCCGGCGATATTAATAGGCGCGGGTGTAAAACGTCCGCGTAAGCGGCGCTCGTCAAACGCGACGTGTTTGCAATAACGTCGTAACTTTATTATCCGCCTCGGGGATTGGTCTTTTAGTATCGACGCACAGCGGTCTCGCCGTTTATTTGACTAACGGGGTGAGATGCACGCGCGCGCAAATTTCACTAGGAAACGCGGTCTTTGAAGTCAAAAGGTCAGATAAATCTACGACTGGAGAAGTTGCCTCCGCTTCCATCCGCGTAGCACTCTTCCGGCAGAAACAGCCACTGGGAATTATAGATCCAAGAAAAATAGAGCGACTTGATGTAATGATGAATTCGCGAAGTGCACCGAGTGTTATTTTAATCTATTCTGCAGTTCGATCCGGCCCATCGCGTACTATCTTTAAATTGTTGGGGCCATGTGTTCCGACAGAAATCGCAGCATTCTCGTAATTGATTGATAGCGTCATAACGTGATCATAAAATTTTCATAGCAGGCGCTGTTTCACTCGCGTAGCAAAATATCCGTATATGAATATCGTTCTATTATGTTAACGTTATAGGTTTAATTTATTATCGCGTTGTATTTAATTATTTACAGGCGTGTCATATAATCAGAAATAAAATGTACGGCACACATTTCAAGATTTGCATAAAAACCGGAAGATTTGAAAATTTGTTTGAACAAGCTATGTATAAAACTACGCGTAAATGTTTACCATCGTTCTCGCAGGCACATCCACTCTCTTCCACTTTTGCTTCCTCTCTCTCTATCTCTCTCTCTCTCTCTCTCTATCTCTCTCTCTCTCTCTCTCTCTCTCTCTCTGTAAAATTTATCATAAGATTTCTACGCTATCGCAATAATCTAGCACTTAATGTTTACAATGTTTAATTTCTCTCTCGTTTTCCAGTGTAGTTTCGCATACCGCGACTTCTTGGAAGAGCTATATCTATGTCGCTCGTCCATTATCTCGCGCCTGGAGGTTTCGTTGCATTCTCGCGCAGATTGATGCCGAGTCGAGAAATAGTACGTGCATTAATTCCAGGAAGATCTCGCGACTCCTAACAGCTAGTCATCGCGTCATCTAGAAGAATTAGGATATATGCCTAAGGTCGTGTCACTTAACGTTTCCCTCGAAATTCAAAATAATAAGAGGAAAAAAAAAAGATCATTTAAGATATTAGGAAAGCGAGGGGAGAGAGAGAGCTGCAAGACAAGTTAAGTAGGAATATTTGATGGATTCTATACAGAGCGAACTGTTTTACGCGAACGTTTTCGTCGCGATGGCGGGATACCGTTTCCTTTGGCGAGTCTGCGCAGCCGATTGAAGAAGCTTCGGCGCTTGTCGTCCGTCAGGCTCTATCGGGATCGAGGACCTTAACAGGAATATCGACGAGTCGAAGTTCCTGAGGCTTGTACTCTGTCAACGAGCCTGATCGTCCCGCGAGACGTTACATATTTTGCTCCAACGAGAACGACGCTGCTCTCGTTTTTTTCCCCTTTCTCCTCCCTTTCTACCTCTTTTTTATTCTCCGTCTCGCTCACGAAATCGCTTCTCGATCTCCCGGCCTCTCGCGAATTCCTGTCCACGTATCGTCTCGCCTATCGTTCTTATCGCCCTCATTCTCGGTTATAGTCGATCCACTCGAGGCAGGAATCCTCCTCGTCCAAATGACGATGTCACTCTCGTGCACGACTCGCTGCGCCGTATAACACCCGGCTTCTTATTCCCGTTCGTGCAGAACGAAGGAGCGGGCGAGGGGGAGGGGCGGGCGCGGTGTACATCGGGAACGGGCAGCGATGTACACGGGCGCGCGAGCGAGCAACCGTCCTTAACGGAATTATTGCCATTAAGGTCGTTGCATTCCCGAGAGGCCGTCGTGTACGCGCCCCGGCATCCTACCGACGCAGAACTAATGATCTTAATTAACGTTTCGTAACGAAGGTCGCCCGGACTGTCCTCTTTCTTCTTCTTCTCCTCCATTTTCTCCCCTTTCCCCTCCACCGGCGCATCCTCCTCCGTTTCTCTTTTTACCTTTCCGCCTTTCGTGCCCGTCCGCCGCGCTCGTCCGCGCTTCTTTAACTTCGTCCTCCTTCTCTTCGCGCTTCGCCTTGACGCTCCTCTACCTTCGAGTCGTTCTTTTCTTCGTAGTTCCCACCGCTCGTAGTTCACTCGGAGTCCATTCCGCTTTACTCTTCTTTTTTTTTTCTTGAACCTCGGGTGTAATCATCCGGCTGTCCCCTTTCTATCTTTCCTCTCTTTCTCTTTCTGTCCCTTCTCTTCGCGCCCTTGGCACGCTCGTTCTCCCTCCCTCTCTCTCTCTTTCTCTTTCTCTCTCTTTCAGTTTCTAGAGCATCTTCTCCTCCCCTCGAAAACATTCGTTTCTCCTCGCTCGATGTCTTCCCTTTTCCTTCGTAGGATTGGTTACGTCGCCACGAGTGTAATGCGCCGGAGCTTTAATTATCGTAATGGCGTTAGCGTGTTCGGATTCGAGTGTCGTACCTGCCTACTATTCGCGCGGCGTAATCATCTTTCTTCCTCGCCTTCTTCGCCGGCTTCTTACGCCGTCGTCGTTCTCGCTAGCGACCGCGGCGCGGCACCGCGAATCTCCCTTTCTCTTACGGACTTCCGTGGCTTTGCGGGATACAATTACGATTCCGACCTATTACTCTTCGTCACCTCCTTCTGGCCGTTCCGTACGACCACCCGATCATTAACCGTCGTAATAAAATTTCGCGCGTTGATTGTAATGCCAAAAACATTTAGTCCATATTTGCAATACAAGAACAAAAAGAAAAAGGAGAAACAGAGAAGGATAGCCATTTTCTTCGTCAGCATTATAACTCATCACGTCGATCGCATCGATACAATTATTGATTGTTTGTCGTCGTTGTAATGAATTATGTCTATTAAACAGTTTAGCGAAATAAAATGGAATTATATACAAGAATTTAATGCTTTTTCTTGTTGCGAGCAATTTATCGCTCTATTATATAATTCGTTAGAAAACACGATCTAATTATTTACGTGTGACGAAAAGTTTAAATATTAAAAAATATGTTACAAATGATAAATGTCTCGTATTCAAGCGATACTAATGAAGTAAATCCGAATTCTCTGTAAATAACGAAGTTTCTGCAGATTTATGAGGCGTTATGTTGCGCGAGAGGAAAAATAAATCCTAATCCAAATGCGAGCGATTAATCACGAGGCTCGAGGATGCGCCGAGATGCAGTACTTGCCTGCTGGAGAGCCGCCGCTCTACGGATTCTAAAAGGAATGAATAAGCAAGCAGAAAGGAGAGCTTCCGCTTAATCTTATGCTCGCGTGAGCCCATCTCTTTCTCCACGTTGCGCGTGGAAAGATGTCGCGTAGTTAAATAATCGGCAACTTGGCCAATGTCGCACCGTGGAATTTGTAGCTTCCGTAAATTATTCTGACTGTTCTTCTCTTTCTAGCGCGTATTGTATCTCGACGTTCGCCTAAGTTCTTCGCAGTTTTCTTCACGATTGTGTTTTATGTGCTAAAAAAATGGAAACAGATGCGAGAAGTGCAATAATTTATTTATAAGAGCAATTTTATTTTGTAGTTAATTGATCAATTATACAGCTATCAAGTAATATATTTAATGTTGTATGTTGTATGTTGTATGCTTACAGGACGGTAGGAAGCCAGCTGGTGATGGATCCGATGCTCGTTTGTAAGAAAACAAGGAGGCTGAAGGGAAAGCTCGCTGATATTTGTCGCAAGGAACCATCACTGCTGAAAGAAATCGCGAAAGGTGTGCAAGTAGGCACCAGGGAATGCCAGTATCAGTTTCGGAATCGAAGATGGAACTGTACGACCGTCAGGCGATCTCTCAAGAAGATCCTGTTGCGCGGTAAGTCCTATCAAATTGTACAAATTTATAATAATAATGGAATGATCATTATTGGAGAGAATCTTGCGTTTTTCAATTATTACGATTTTTTGTGTGCTCTCAATTATTATTATTTATTGCTTATTATTCGATATATTTATTCGGCAGATCGTATAATAGTCTCTAATAATTTTCATCGACGTTTGGAGACAGTTTATTTCTACTGATTTGTAATAAACAAAAGATTTAAACGTTCACGCGTGTTTAGTTCGCCGCGGGTTTTTGCGTCAGATACTCGATAAATTCGTGAATCCGGTGGCATTATTCGTGGGTTATAAGCGCAAGGTCGAGTAGACGCGCTATTCCGGGCCTCGATCTCGCCCTCTCGTCCGAGAAAAGGATCTCGGGTCTCCTTTCAGGAGCGAGAAAGGGGCCCGGGCACGACAATGTACACACTAGCGGCAGATTACAGGGCGCTACTCGTTCGACATTAGGGGAACCGGATGTCGATTACACACTCCCCTACTCTGAGGGCGATTCGTTACGATTAAATGCCGGTGCCCAATCGGCACACCTCCGGAATGGGCCACCCCTTTAAAGAACCTTTCTACGTGCGGGGGCCTTTAAGAGACCTCTCCGCGTGTGGAGTCTGACGTTGACCACTCTATATATCCGAGTGTATTAACGATCATAAAACGTGATGCACAACAATAGCTTTTTTGCGTTTTTATTCGGGACAATCGACTATTATTCGATGAAAATCGATACTGTATTATTAAACATTATTTTTCTTACATTGTTTTACATTTATGTTTAAATTATACTCACATCTAGTTTATTCGAGTGAAAATGGATGTGCGGGCAGAAGGGTACATTTAATCTTCCCCGATTTATTTTTAAAAAAATTTTGAAAGAAAGGAAGATGCAAATTGATACTTTTTATTTATGGTTTTTTTAAATTAATATTTTATAACGTTTCACGGTATAAAATTATTCCGCTATAAAACTTGACGCGTATAATTTTTTTGTACTTTATTTTCTGAGCCTGTCGTACCTTTTTTAAGCTCGGATACATCACGAACGAATACGTAGTAATTATTTTTAAATTAGCCTTAATGGGAGATCCTAGACGTACAACTTCGGTGGCTAAGAAAGGGAGATAATGACTACTGTCTATAATGTTGGAACACATATACGACTGTGAAATCAAACCGTAAGGTGTCACAATAAATAGCAGCGTATAGTAATATGATAATAATGATAAAGCGACTGCGTCATTGCCAACGAAGATACTTAAAATAGTCGGAATGTTGGGAAATAAAAGTTCAACGAACTTTGTCGTTATAGTTTTATATAACTGTTCACCCTATACTTATGTCCGTGTCATTATCATCCATTAAAAAATTGATTCTTTACGACGTTCTCGTTTCTCTGTGTCAGCAATTTCCGTTAAAAACGAGAATGATTAATGTGCCGAAACAAAAAGGGAAATTTATTTTGTCTAAAGCTATTCGTGGTAATTTATGTTACCTTAATATAGCGCTTTGTGATATAGTACGATTCCAACAGTCTACGTAGATTAAATGATATTAACATTTGCTAAAACAAAATCTGACAAAATTAATGAAGCAAAATATTTATATCAAATATTCCGTTGATAAATTATTTTATTTTAATTTTTTATGAACTTAGAAATTGATGCAAGACGCCAGCAAAACTGCCAATTTTTATAATTTATTTTATTTTATTTCGAGATTAATGTACTCCATCGAGAGAGGAATATATCATCTTTGTGAATGTTGCGCAAGCATGGATGCGTTTATTGTACCGTGTACTGTGGGAATCGATAGACAAGCGCGAAGAAATTTCATCTCGGTCACGACCGCTGGTCGATCAGCTCTCACACATAATCAAAGTGTCTCTACATGGCAAACCCGAAGCAGCCGCCGAAAGGCGAAGGCTGTCCGCGGAGCTCGCTCTCGTTCGGTTAACTGTCCAATATATTAATTCCAGGTGATTGGCCACGACAACCAAATCGAAGATAGTGTATTCAATAGGTTGCGCTGCTCTCTAGACACCGCTATCAGATCGGTGTTTTTTGGTAGCCTGACAGATTGACACTGTCCGTCGGATATTAGTGGCAATGTGTTCTCTTAATTAAAGCCTCACTGCCACGACAGATCGCGGCCGATCGATTTTTCGATTTTGCCCCCCTCCCCAATTCCCTTCCGCCTGCTGTCCTCGCGATCTAGAGATCACCGTCAATCCTATCGATCGTGATTCGATGCAGGGGCCTCTCAGGTAAGACGTTAAACGCGGACGCGTGTGGAATCCATGCCCGACGATCGATGATCGAATTAAGCACGACACCCGCCGGGGATGCCTGACGATCGGCATTCGCTCGTGAGATGCGGGAGATAGTATATTATTAACGAGACAGCCCGTCGGCCCGAATAAAGCGATAGTTCAATTAAACGAATTAGCGTCACACTCGGTGCTTTCATTTATTTTTGCATATTTTGAACATTCAAGATGCCGTAATGTCCAGCTTGCTTGACACTATTGCTATTTGCTACTATTATATAAAAGTACATGTGTTTCATTAGCTAAGAGAGAACAAATTTTGCTAAAGTAGAATACCGCAATAATTCTTTTTAATCTCCTTGCTATCAAATAGCTATGATTTACATAAAGCAATTATTTAAAAATATGAAAATATTTTTTTAAGGGATTCTTTTTCTGACAGCATTGCAAATATTGAAATGTATTTCATAGACACGTCAGAATATCTTAAGCGATATTCCGTGTTGTATGCGAATATGCTCTCTTACTGCATGTCATGCAAACTGGAGATGACGGTTCGACAGTTAATTACGATACTTCTCGCGGTACAAATTCTATAATATCGCGTTTTACGATCGGATCAACTCGCTATAATGATGGAATAATCGAATACAAATTGCGCTTAAACGCGTCTCAACTGCGCTGACATGCTCCGGCATGTCTTCGCGATCGAACTAACATCGACGCGTCTCTCGAACGCGCTGTAATATCCAAGATTAACGACTCGTAATGCTCAATTCTGAGCATATCAGCACTTTAATTGAATTCCGATTAACGTAGCATATAACATGCGCGAGAGCGAACAACGGGAAGCTGCTTGGGTGTTGATTAAACTCTCGAGAGTCTATTTGAGAATAAAATGCCATGTAAACGATATCTGCGCGATATTACGCATCATTAAATGCTATATTGCAATTTTTGAGATTTTCCTCACATCTGCTTTTCTATAATAATCCATAAAAACTCACAAATTTTTTCACGCGTTCTGTATCTTTTTTTATGTTTTTAAATGTTAAAAAATGCATCTTGATTTTTAATGTAATAATTTATTGTTAATTAATCAAACTTTATTTCTTGTGATATTCATATTTTACTTAAAAATAATTATTTCTAAATGGAATTTAATTATGATTATTTTTTATTTAAAAAAAAATTTCTACAGCTATAAATACAGAATTATATAATATTTTTCTATAATGTAACAAACACTGCTTCAATTTCCATACTTTGATTTCATTACTTAGCTTTACAGCGTTGAAGCTTATGCCAGTGTCGCTGCGGCGGCCCGATGAGGATCTAATTTGCGTTCTATCTGGCACTTACGACCTTGCCTCACCCTATAAAGACGATATCACGCCATAAAGACGACAAAGTCCGATTATACGCTTCATCGGGTAATCGTAAACTTTGCGGCGGTATTCACCCTACGTTGTAAATAATTTGTAGCCTTTGCTCCCACGGCAAAGTTCTATCGGATGTAGTACACTCGGCCTTCTCGTATCTGTTAAATTATTATTTTACGGCTTTCGTCGTAGCACGTTATCCTTTTGCATCTTCCATCGGCCTCGAATTACGCACGATTAATCGTAACGAGGAACGATTAAGATTATGTTGAATGTATATGTTAAAGCACATGGAAAAGAAATATTAATGTTCATATATAAGATAAATAAGTGCATTTATATACAAAATAAATAATAAGAAAATTAATAATGGCAATAAAAAAAAGGTAGGCAATATAAACCAGTTTGCCGAGTGAAAGTTTTATGTTGCGAGGCATTCATTCGTGGAACCAAAAATTACACCTCAAACGGTGGGCCTGTCGGGAAAAGGTCGAACAGCAGGTACATAATAGCGCGCATCTCGATGACAAGGAGGCGATGTGTTAACCGGTCGTTCTGGGTGACAATTTATCTGTGACTCTGTTCATGAATAGCTCCGCCTTGGGAAGTCTCGTGTAAGCGGTATACTGCTTATAATACATTTGCACCGTGACATCTTTGTGTTCTCTTGCTTCTGTTTCTCAATTATTGCGGTTTTATTGAGAGACCTGTCATTATTACAAAATACTTTTGTTATTATGTTACTATATATCTTATTTATGCAGTATTACACATTTTGAAATATATCAGCTTACTGCTGTTATTTTTCGACTTGATTTTATGCTCAAGAAGCGAGATTTGTCAATTCGTATTAAATCGTAATATCGTATTATTGTCGTATTATTTTTCAAAGAAATTTTGGGTCCTCAAAATTGTTAAATTTTTTAAAATGTCAAGTATATATATTTTAAATAAATTTGTAAATTACGCGCATTTGTTTTT